CATGCACCCGGACATGCACCCGGACATGCACCCCGACATGCACCCGGACATGCACCCGGACATGCACCCGGACATGCCGATGGGCCCGGGAATGAATCCCGGCCCTCCGATGGGTCCCGGCCCCCCCATGATGCCCTACGGACCGGATGATTCCCCCCACTCCGGCATGATGCCGCCCGTCCCACCGGCGCAAGGTTTCTATGACAATTTCTACCAGCAGCAAGAAGGTCTGGAGATGGATCACGGCATGATGGGAGACCCAGGTACGTCCCGAGGATCTGCCGGGATCGGCTCTTAGGTGCTTTGCCGGACATGCCGGCTCGGAGACAGGTTGTTCCCGGGATGCTCGGCCACAGCGGCAGGCCGAGAGGGGCGGGAAAAATTGGGTTGTTTTTCGCGGCTTTGAGATTTTCTTTTAACACGCGATGACCTTTCCTCGGCAGAAGACTACGGTGGTTACGAGGACATGGAAGGGCCTCCGGGAGAGCACATGTTCCCCGATCCGTCCTTGGATCACGATGCCTTGTGCGAAGGAGGCCCGCCCGGCTTACCGAAACCGCCGGGCAGCATCCCCGATTTCATGCCGTCGGCGCAGAGAGCGCTTTACTTGAGAATCCAGCAGAAGCAGCAAGAGGAAGAGGAGAGAGCTCGGAGACTAGCCGAGAGCAATAAGCAGGACCGCGCGAAAACGAGGAAGGCAGGTAAGCAAACCCCGAGGGGGGGGAGGATAACTTGGATCTCCTTCGTTTTCTAGCCAACCCCCCCCCAAGGTGTCGTCTGCGAAAAAGAGGGGGCCGTCGGAGAAACGGGGGTGTCGGGGAGGAATTCTTTAGGGAACAAGGGGTGCTGAGCGCCTCAGAGAAAATCCCCGGCGTCGAAAGAGCGCGTTGCTGGTGAAGGGGGGGGGAGCAGATCTGCCGAAGAAATGGGAACAGCGGGCCAGAAGGCGAACGAGATAGGGTTGCTGGCTTAAATTGCGGTGAAGCCCGCTGCAGACAGGAGGAAGAGGAAGAGAGGGATGCTTACGGCCCTCCGGTAATTTGCGGTGGGAAAACGAGACCGGGGAGGCCGAGGCTGTCAGACGTCATCCCCCGTTCCGGCAAAACAGAGGGAGGGTCGGGAATTTGAGCAGCGTTGAGTTGAGAGGGGAGAGGGGAGGCGTTTTGGGGACCTTCTCGTCGGCGTGGCGGCTTGACCGTGCTTTACTTGCCTGTAATCACCTGCTTCCTCTTCTCCTTCCTCCCAGGCGATACCGGCAACTGGTATTCCAGCGACGAAGATGACGGTGGAAGCAGCGTCACCTCCATATTGAAAACCCTAAGGCAACAAAGCTCCGGCAGACCTCACGCCCAACCCTCCCACGGAGAAATCGGGCCACCCTCCGGCGTGAGCGACCCTCGCCTGCAAAAAGCCCAAGCAGGAGGGAGCGGTCGTCCTGCCGACCCGCGTTTACGAGATCCCAGGCTTTCCCGAAACGCGGACCTTTCCGTCCCGTCTCTCCCCGGGGATTCGGGACCCACCGACCCCAGGCTGGCGCGACACATTCCCTCCTCCGCCCCCAAACCAGAAGCTCCTCATTCCAGCGTCGGCGGCGGTCAGAAACCCCCCCTGCTCCCCGACGAGGAGGAAGGGGAAAGGGCTCTGCGGGATAAACCGG